ATCCATCCATCCATCCATCCATCCATCCCTCTATCCACCCATCAATCTATCAATTTATCTATCTATCTATCTATCTCACACTCACAGTAAGTCGCTAACTTCCACACCGACGAGCTCCCTCTCACTGTAGGCCTCGTGCCACTTCATGTATCGTCTTATGGTGGGGATGCCTGACCACAAGGCTTCAAACCGGGGACTGGTGACGTCATGATGAACAGAGAAGAGCGTCACAGAGCCTGGGTTCCTGGACCCGACGAAGATGAGCCCAAGACCATTGGACTGCCCGACTTCTAAGACTGAAGGTTCAAGACCCTGATAAGAAAATCAACAATTCTTTACCATTTTAAAAATTCATTTAGGATTTAGTGGACACATGATTATGTCTAATTAGCAGCAGTCCCAAACACAACTTTGCTGCATCCTATCGATTCATTATACACAAATCATAAACATAAATTTGCTTATTATTATTTTTTAGCGTGTCTGTTGTAGCCTGCCTTTTAAAGTTTCAGATAAAGAACACAGAATGGAAAAATCGGTATGAATAATGAAATACGGTTCTATTTTCAACGTGCTCCAAAACAGCGCGTCTTCCAGAGTTGTCAGATGAATAGATTGCGCGTTCTCACGTTCTTATTAAGTTAAAGTCCCTTCGGACCGTCGTTGATAATATAATACGCGTTTTAGTTCTAAATCCAGGCCAGACTGAAGGTACGTTCAAAATATTTTTATTACTTTATTTATCCATCCATCCTTCACTGGGATAGGTTCCAATAACATTTTACAGCTGATTGTGTAGGGCAGACATAGAAAATTAGGGTGTGCAGACGAGATCTTAGTTACCGAGCAGTTTTTTAGTATGGCCTGCGAGCCTACCCATTAATTAATGATACATGGCACGTGCTGAGTTGATGCTTATTTAGAGCAAAAGTACTTTTCTTGAATGTCAAGATTAAAAGTTTCCGGCACTGCTGAAAGCAATCTAATATTTTGTCTCATGAAACGCACTTGAGTAACACATTATGCTAAAATGCCAGTTTAAGCCTTACTTTTAAGAGTGTGGGTATTTTACCCAGATTTCACCCAATTTGCTCCTACTTTGGCTCTAGAGATATTCATAATTTATTATTTTGACCAGCGACTAAGACAGCCTTGCCCATGCCAAAAGAAGCAAGTTTGAGAAAAGACTAGAGAATGGCATCTTGAGCAACATTGTACTGAGATCATAAATGTAACGCAATTTAATGACTTTTTAAGAAGGCGACTGGGATTGCTTGAGTTTTCAAGGCTTGTCCTTTACTTTGCTCAAACCTAAGGGTGATGGATTTTTCATTTGGAAGTCCTGGCTCTTGGATTTCTTTTTAACTTTGCAAGGGGTGTTAACACAATATCTTGCGGCAATACTTATTCCTTTCCATGAGAATGGTGAAATCAAATCACC